AATTTTAAAAATTTAAAAAAAGAAAAAGAAAACAGGAGGAATGTGGGCCTGGGGAGACAGCTCAGCGGTCTAAGTCCTGCCAGGCAAGTGCAAAGACCTGGGTTCAATTGCTGGTACTGCATGGCGTGTGGGCCAGCAAAACCTGCTGTGGTGGTGTACACCTGCAGTCCCAGTTCTGGGGAAGCTGAGACAGGAGGATCACTACGAGTTCAAGCTGCATAGCGAGACCCTGTATTAAATAAATAAATAAAAGATTCTTTTAAAATTTGTAAAAACTGAAAGTAGTGGGAATGATTATGTTTTATTCACTTTTTCCACGAGGTTGTGATCTGAGGCATAACTTTAACATGTTACCCTGTTTTTTGAGATTTAGAAAGTCTACAGCAGGCTACAAAATGTTACTGTAATTTACATGGAAAAATAAGTAGTGTATTTTCTTAATGAAACTGTGAAAGGAAAAATGGGTGAATTAATAGATTATGTTCTTGAAAATTGCTGAGAGTAGATTTTAAGTGTCTCTACCAGCAAAAAAAAAAAAAAAGCAATAAGATGATGCATGTTAATTATCTCCATTTAGAGTTCCCTGATGTATACATTTTTCAAAACATGTTATATACAATAAATATATATAATTTGTATTTATTGGTTCACATTTCTTAATGAAAAGAAGAATTTATTGTAGATTTGTTTTTCACAGTAAAGAATGTATATTTATATATTCACCAATTGTATATTACCTTTTTTTTTAAATTTTTTTTGTTGTGTGTGTGTGTGTGTGTGTGTGTGGCCAGCTTAGCCCACCAGGGGGCGGGGCTGGCTGGCATGTGGTGCTGGGGGATCGAACCGCGGTCCCTGTGCCTTGCTCGGCTTAGCTTGTTCTAAGTAGGTGCTCTAGACCACTGAGCCATCTCACCAGCCCGTATATTACCTTTGTAAAGTAATAGAATTGGGAAATATACATAAGATCTAAGTTCCTTTTCAAGTGGTTCAGTTAGTAATTTTACTTTTAGAAAAAGGCTTACATCTTTTTTAATCTTTATTTTTTGTGTCTCTTTTTTATGAGCAGAATATATTTATCGAAGGAAAGAAAGCTGCTGTTCAGGAGGACAGGAGGTGGTCCTGAGTGGGTGGTCCCCATTTTTTTTTTTTTTTTTTTTTTTTTTTGTCTCTCTTGCTCTTTTTTTTTCTTTTGGCGGCACTGGGGGTTGAACTCAAGCCCTTGTGCTTGCCAGGGAAGCACTTATTCCACTGAGTCATCTCCCCAGCCCCCTTTTTTGTCTCTTGAGACAGGATCTCACCATGTAATTCAGGCTGGCCCAAACTCACTGTGATCCTCATGCCTCAGCCTCCCAAGCTCTGGGATTACAGGGGTGTGCCACCAAACCCAGCTCAAAAAAGGGCTTAAGTCTTTATTGTCATTTATATTAAACAGTTTTCCTGTTGTTATTGTAGGCAACTAATTCATCTGTGATGACAAATGATGCTTCAGAAGGATCGGTCCTTGGGAATTACATAGGCATCCTCAATAGCTTTGCGCAGAGGGAGAGAATAGCTGTAAATTATGAACAGTGGGAACAGAGGGAACCAGGAGCTCAAAGGTAAGTGTAATGTGGCTTCTATTTCATTATTTTGAAACAATAAAATGGACTTCTTTCCATGTCTAGATTTCAGAAAGTTTTCCTTTTTATACAATCTATACAGTCTACATACAATCTCTGTAAATCTACAAAATTTTATGTGAGATAGAAGCAAGGGGTCGTCTTCTTTATTTTGGAGCGGGGAGCCTCACCATGTTGCTCAGGTTGTTCTTGAACTCATGAGCTGAAGGGATCTTCCCACCTCAGTTTCCTGAGTAGCTGAACTACAATCATGTGTTGCCATGCACATCTCTGGACATCTTTTTAGTTAAAAACATTTAATTGCTAGTGCTGCAAAGTCTGTACCTTGATTGCTCAAATTTCAGTAATCTTTTACAGTCGCCTTCCCCCATGCATAGTTTTGCTTTCTGCAATTCCAATTACTCATGGAATTGGGCTGGCCAGATAGCTCAGCAGATTAAAGTGCCTGCTTAGGCAGATACAGGGATCAGGGGTTTGATTCCTGGTGTGCTGTGTTGGCCCTGACCCTGGGGCATGCTGAGAAGGCAAATGAGACTGGGAGTGGTGGTGCACGCCTGTAATCCCAGCGCTTAGGAGGCTGAAAACAGGAGGATCACTATGAGTTAGATCTGTGTAGTGAGACTCTGTAGTCCCTATACTGAATACACTCACACACACACACACACACGCACACACACACACACACATTACCCATGGTCAGCAAGAAGAAAAAAGATTAATATAATTCAGTAACATATTTTGAGAGACACACACAGAGCACATTCACATAGAAATGTTTCTATAGCTCCTGTCTTTTTTTAAAAAAAATTCATTCACTTTAATGAGAAAAAATAAAATAGCAATTAAACAGTTTCAAAACAGATTAGTAGGACAGTTAAAATAATTAATACATTGCATATTGTAGTCTTCATAGTACTTATTCAGAGGACAAGATGTAGATGTAATATCTTGTCTAACCAATATTAGTACAAACCTTTGTTCTCATTGAATTAAGAGAAAGTAGCTATGTATCTGTT